CACACACACACACACACACACACACACACCGTGGGGAGCACACAGGCTGCAGTCCAGCCCCCCACACCCCCACCTTTCATCAGACCTCGTTAAGCTGTCCTTCACCCCCTGTCCACTCTGTTCCCTGTTCCACAAATAGCTCTTGGGAGGCCACTATCCCCCTGCCAGGCCAGGCTGTCTTCGGAATTTGAGCCATCCCTGCAAGCTGTGCCCATGTCGAGCCCAAGGTCAGGCGTGGCACTGCCTCACTCTGCCTGCCCATCACTTTGTCCAGGTCACTGTCCCTCCCGCCATCAAGGCCCACACTCTGGGCTCCAGAAGCACCCTCTCACACCATTGCCACCCTCACCTGCCCGCACCTCCCCAGCAGCTGCATGGTCCTGGCGGGAGGCCCTGCCCTGGGGGCAGGAGCTCTGGACACTGACCCTGGCTCTCCCTCTGACCCTCTGTGGGACCAGCTGCCTCCTGCCCTCTCTGGGCCCTACTGAGGAAGGGCCCTTCCAGGACCAGTGCCACGCTCTGGCTTCAGGCTGCGAGGCGCTCCTGGGCTGATGCCTCCGTTTCTTCAGCTGTATGGGACGATGATGATGGCCTCCATGGTGAGGGTGTCGTAAGACAAACGAGTTACTGAGCAGTGGGTGTGTGAGCTCCTGGTGGGAGCCCCTCACATTCTCAGGGTCTGTCAGCATCACCCTGGATTCCTCCCGAAGCCCGCAGGCGGCACTCGTAGCACCCCGACCAGCTCTCCCCGGGCCCCAGCCCCCAGAGTCTAGCCAGGCTCAGCATCTGTGGCAGCAGGGTTTGGGCCCAGGAGGGAAACCTCCCTCTGTTTATGCAGCACCACCGCATTGCATCGGGCTCTGACATGAGCTCATTTATCAGAGCCCACCATGCTCAGGCGTCACGTCCCCATCTGACCGGTGACAGGACTGAGATGCAGAGGGTGAAGGAACATTCCCGAAGCCAAAGGAAGGCTGCTAAGATCAGGACTCAAACCCACATGCAAGTCCGCGCCTCTCAGACCTGTAGGAACTGGTGGTGCGAACCTTTGCAAACTCCTTTTGCTCTGGATTTCAGCTTACCTGGGGAAGGACGCGGGCTTCGATTCAGAGATCTTTAAAAGTAAGGAGCCTGGGGTGGGGTGGGCCTTCAGGAGGAGGGGTCTAGAGGCTTCAGGCAGAGGGGTCACCCTGCAGCCCCCCACAGCCCCTTCTAGAATAGCCACCCACAAAGGGGTATCCACATGGTGTAGCCCTACGAGATGACCAGCTTCTGGGGTTCCAGGCACCCCAGAGCTCACCCCAATGACTCAACTATCCAGTGGACAAAACTGGAGAAAAACAGGCAAAGCCAGAAAGACAAATAGATGTCAACTTTGGATAGTTGCTCTTTGGGGTCATTGGCCCCCATCCTCGCCCCGGGGCCAGCCCCTCGGCCTCAGGAATCTTGACCCAGAATAGCACAGGTGTCCAGAAGGGCCCTCCTCTGTCCAGGCCCGGGCCAGCCTGTGGCCTCAGAAAGCTCAAGCTCTAAACCTCTGTTCGCACCCAGGACTGCTGTTTGGCCCCAACGTGGAGTTCTCCTCGGTGCTGAAGCCCACTTTTGCACGTGAGAAGGAACCCTTCTCCCTGTCCTGCTTGTTTTCTGAAGATGTGTTAGATGCCGAGCAGAACATCCAGTGGTTCCGAGATGGTGAGGACCCCGGCCTTGGCCACAGCTCAGTCTGGACCCCTAGTGGAGAGAGAAATTCAGCTGCACCCCTCACGCCCAACTAGGGCCAGCTGAGTTAGGGGTGAACAGAGGCCGTGAGAGGCAGGAGCCTCCTGCAGGGGTTCCCGGGGTCCCACAGTGCCCCACCAGTGCTGGGGGCCGGGACCAGAGCAGACCTGCTTGAGCTCTGGGAGAGTGCCCTCTGGGAGGAGGAGGAAACTAAGCGCATGGTAGCCCCTGCCCAGCCGGCCCTGTCCCCCTCTGGGGTCCTCGTGACCACCTGAGGGTGAGCGATGACAGTGGGAGCAGCAGGGGCAAGGCCAGGAGGCCGCAGGCTCAGGGAGCAGCGGGAAAGATTGTGGCCATTGTGCAGGGCTTTTCAGTCAGTGTGGGGGTGCAGGTGAATGGAAAGCCCTGGGGGTGCCCGGGCAAGGGCTGCAGGAGGCTGATGGATTCAGACCCGCAGAAGAAGGAGCCTCGCCAGGAAGATGGACCGTTGGCCTTCCTGCCCCCTGCTGACCAGGCTGGCAGCCAAAGGACAAGAAGTACAGCTTCCCCTCACTGCCCTGAGCCTGGGGCGCTACACCTGGTGGGGGTGGGGGACGGAGGGGAGCCGAGGAGCCCTGAGAAACAGCTGCAATAACAAGGCCAAGATGCTGTCCCAAACCTGCGCGCCTTCCAGAATAGAGGTGCTGACAGGAGGGAGGGGCCTCTGAGTGGGGCAGAGGGCAGGGGAGGTCCAACGGCGAGGCCGCAGGGCAGTGCCCACCCCAGACCGGGACTCAGTGAGCTGGAGGCTTGGGGATCAGGACAGGGAAGGGGTATGGGACAACCAGGGAGTGAGGGTGTAGGGAAGCCCCTAAACCCAGGCCCCTCCACTGAGTCCCCATTCTTCTCACCTACCCACCCACTCGGTCCCCTCTGTCCTCACTGACCCCTGAGCCCCTCAACCAGCGTGCTACCTTTCTCGCTGACACCCCAGTTCTCTCAGTGAGCCCCTCCAGAAGGCCCCATTCCATGAAGTCCATAGTCCCCACCCGCTGAGCCCCAATGCCCTGAGCCCACCCCCAGCCCTCCACAGAGCCCCTAACCCTCACACAGGGCCCCATCTCTTGTTCCCACTTTGTCACAGAGCCTCCTCACCAAAGCACAGAGGCTTCCCTAAACCCTCATGCTGGGGTTGCCCCATCCCCCTTCCCTGTCCCGACCCCCAAGCCTTCTGCTCATTGAGAACTGGGGTGTCAGCAGCCACCTTGTAGCCTCCTGGTCCCGCCCCAAGTCCCCAGCTCGGCCACATCAGCCCGCTTCTGCCTCGACCCACCCCACAGTATCCCCTGAACCCCTTCCTCTTCAGGGAGGCTGCTGAGAGCCTCGGGACGCCGGCACACCCTCTACGCCGACCGCCAGGCGTCCCTGAAGGTGTCCTGCGCCTACAAGGAGGATGAGGGGCTCTACACCGTCAGGGTGACTTCCCCCTTTGGGGCCCAGGAGCAGAGCACCTATGTGTTTGTGAGAGGTGAGGGGTGCGTGGGGGGGCAGCTGAGCCAGGGTCTGCCTTGACTGATTTGCTGTGGAAGCTTGAGCAACTCTGTTCTCTTGTTGGGGGACAGTCTCAGTCTCCCTGCTATAAACAGGGGTGCTGGTTTAGCAGAGCCCTCTAAAAGTCCTACTAGTACCCTATGACGCTGCAAAAGGACACAGCCAGATCTCAGACTTGGCGGGCTGGGGAGGGGCACTGCGCGTAGGCTGGGACGATTCAGCCCTGGCTGATTTCTGCCTCCTGGTCCTTAAACTGATGCGGCTCTGACTTTGCCACTCCCCTAGCCAGTGACCTTGGACAAGTCACCCTACGGCTCTGCAACTCGGTGTTCCCATCTGTGAGAGGGAGAGTTGCTCAGAGGTAGCTATGCCCACTGCTCAGGGTGTGCATAGAAGGCACCGCACCAAGCCTGGTGCTGTCGGAAGGAAGACGCTGTCTGTCAGGTCCCGGCTCTTGAGATCCAAACTCAGGCCCTGGAGGGTCATGAGAAGAGGGTGGGAGTGGCGAGAGCTTGTTACCTGGTGGGCACTGACCGGAAGTGCCTCCTCTCCCTCCCTCTCTCCCCACCCCCACCGGGGTCTAGATGCTGCACCTGAAAAGTCAGGGGCCCCAGGCTCCCCCCTGAATGTCCAGTGTCTGGATGTGAACAGAGACTGCCTCATCCTGACCTGGACCCCACCCAGTGACAGCCGGAGCAGCCCTATCACCAGCTACTCCATTGAGTGGTGAGTTGAGTGGCAGAGCCCCTGGGGGGACATCTCTGTCTGCTTTGAGGTCAAGAGGGGGGACTGCAGAAAAGAGGGGCCCCTGGCCTCTGGAGGTAGATGGTGTTGTATAATTTAGGGGCCTCAACAGCTGTCACCCATCACCCGCTGGACCCCTCCAGGCGGAGCTGACACCCAGTGAGGCCTGAAGCCCAGACTGCTGGGCACGTGCTGCTTTCCTCCCTGAGCGCCAGGCAGAGGGGGAAGAGCATTGAGCCCAGAGGGAGGGAGGCAAACAGCAGACCCAGGGCGCCAGGCTGACCCAGCCGGGGCTTCACGTCGTGTGCATCTGAGGGCAGGACAGGACCCAAAAGCAGACGCATGTGTGCAGGGCAGTAACAGGCATGGTTTAGCCGGGAGGGAGAGCCAGCGAGGTTGGCATCTGTCCGGATGTCCCAGACAGCCTCTGCTGAGCAGACAGCAGGGGCTGAACCAAAGCCGGAGCCGCAAGTTGGCAGCGTCTCGCCAGCGGTCAAACGGCCCAAGCCCCAGCGGCTGGGCCACCAGCGGCTCTGCCCATCCCCCCATCACCCCCCCACCAGGAACAGCCTAAAAGTTCAGAACTTTTAGGAATTTGGGGACTCTCAGGCTGTTCTCCCCTCGCTTTCGCGGGATGAGGGTGGGCCACCTTCCACCATCGAGCTGGCCGAGAGCGCCACCTGCTGGCCAGGAGGTTGCTCCTCGCGGCTCCTCTTGCTGGAGAGCCTGGTCCTCAGCCACGTGCCCCAGCACCGAGGCCCCACGCAGGACCCAAGGAGAAGGACACCAACTCCTTCCTAAGGGCAAGAGAGACGCTTCAGGGCCCGTTTCTACAGATGAGAAACTGAGCGACCTGGCCCGGAGCCACATAGCTCATCTGTGCGGAATCAGGGTTGGGACATGCAGGTGACCACTGCCCCAGCCAGCGTTGCTGGATGCTGTCTGCCACCAGGGGACACAGGTACCCAGAGGGCACAGGGAGCCCAGACTCAGGCCAACCCAGAATGTGCCTCAAACCTAGGGAGTGGACAGCCCTCGGTGAAATCCTGAACTACCACTCACGGGCCTTGTGGCCCCAGGCGGCCGTTTCACTGTGAGCCTGGATCCCTGTCTAAAGGGATTCGTACCCTACTGTTAAGGTGAAAGTGACGCCAGGATGGGAAGGGGTGCTGGGTGTGCAAGGTTGGAGCCAGAGCAGGATGTAGCCAGTGAGATGAGCAGACCAGGCCACCCGGGGTGGGCATGGCCCTGGGAAGGCCATGGGCAGAGGCTGAAGCAGGGCCTCTCTCCCACAGGTGCCGGGGTGACTCTGAGCAATGGGTGCCCTGCCACGAGGCCCCTGGTGGGACCTGTCGGTGCCCGATCCAAGGCCTCATGGAAGGTCAGAGCTATCGGTTCCGGGTGAGAGCCATCAGCAGAGTAGGCAGCAGCCTCCCCTCCAAGGCCTCACAGCCCGTTGTCATGGGGCATCACATTGAAGCCCAGAAGAAGAAAGGTAGGTACAGAGGCCCTGGTGGAACATTCTAGAACATCAGTCGGGCACACTTAGGACTTTCTCAGATAGGAGGCAGGTTGTATGGCCCCTGCTCCAGGTCTGTTCCCAACTGGGAGACATGCCCCCCCCCTTCAGGAGCCCCTAGTCTAACGGAGGAGATACAGCCTCAGGAACCCCAAGATGCAGCCTCAGAAACCCTGAGACACAGCCTCAGGAACCCCTATAGAGATGGAGGAGACACAGTGCTGCCCTGAGTAACCCCTGACCTGCAGCAGATGGAAGAAATACCAACTTATCCGTGAGATACTAATCTGAGGGAGAACCACAGCCCCTTCTTCAGACACCCTAAATCTGAAGGAGGAAAACAGTCCTGCCTCAGGAGCCCCCAACCTGAGGGGATATGGCCTGGTCACCCTGAGAGGTCAGCCTGTCTTGGCTTTGCCTCCCAGCCCTACCACACCCTGGGTGTCTGTCACTGGCATATCACACCTCCTCCCCGCCACGTTAGTCACAGAGGACAGAGCATTTCTTTGGGTTTAAGGCAGCGGTGTTCCACGTTGGACCCTGAGAATACGGGGGCCCTGAGAGGACCTGCCTGAGCTCACACAGTGGGGGGCCAAAGGCCAGGCCGGGGCCAGAGAGCCGAGTCCACACGCAGAGCAAGCCGGCCTGGCCTGACCCCTCCTGCCCCGTCCCCACACACCCCTGCCTCCTGCTGCTTCCTGATGTGCTCCATCCCCTTCTCCGCCCCAGAGATCCCCTTTGACCTGGGAAACAAGATCATGATCAACACAGACGATTTTGAAGGTAAGTGTGACTCCCAACGCAGCCGCAGACTCCACCCTCCTGATTCTGGCGACTGGAGGACACAAGCAGGCAGAAGCAGGGCCGGCTGTGGCGGGGTGGGGAGGCGAGGCTGCTGGGGTCCAGCCCGGGGAGCCAGAGTTCTTAGCGACTGTCACCTGTCTGGCTGTGCCCTCGCAGAGGAGGCAGCATGTTGGGGGACCCCCAGGCAAGATTCGGGAGCCCTGGATTCTGGCCCTGGCTCTGCTGGCCTGACTGAGTGACCGCAGCAAATTCCTGCCCCTCTGTGGACCCAGCACCCTCCTCTATAAATGGAGGGGCTAAGAGTAGGGGTCTCTGAGGCCCACCCCTCTCTGTTCTGATGACTCTGATTCTAGACTTTGTGACCCTCCCCTCACCCCCGACCAACGTCCATGCCAGCGAGATCCGAGAGGCCTATGTGGTTCTGAGCTGGGAGGAGCCGAGCCCCAGGGGCAAGTCCCCGCTGACATACTCCTTGGAGAAGGTCTGGACACCCAAGGGCCCCTTCCTCCCCCCAGGCTCACCTGTGAAGTAGACATGTTTGGGACAGGAGGGTGCAGAGCTCAGCGAAGCCCTACGAGACCCTGGCCCCCGGGGAGGCCCTCAGAGATGGATGGGACTACTGTGCCCGGAAGGCCTACACAGAGGCGGGGTGGCTTACATGATCTTTTGAGGTCCCCTCCAGCCCTGAGAGGCCAGTAACTAATAGCAGCTCTTGAAGCTGTTCATGAAAACACACAAAATGAAGAGCCATGGACAATAACTGCAGGGAGGTCCACTGTTTCCTGGGTACCCCCGTCCCCACACCTGGCATCCATCACATCTCCAGTCAAGCTCTTCCTCTCAGCCAGGGCCACACTGGGAGGGAGCTTGGCTGGTCCTCACAGCCAGCGTTGGGGACAGCTGCGCTCACAGGCCACGTGGGGGAACCCCGAGAGGCGGTTCTCCCTGGGCGCAGGTGTCTGGGAAGGGACAGCAGCATGCGGAGACACCACAGTGGGGGGAGGCGGCGTGGTGGAGGGAAGCCACGCCAGTGCCTATCCTTTGTCACAGTCGGTCATCGGCAGTGGCGCCTGGGAGGCCATCAGCTCAGATGCGCCAGTGAAATCCCCGAGGTTCGCCCTGTTGGATCTGGAGAAAGGGAAGTCCTACGTCTTCAGAGTGCGGGCGGTGAACCAGTACGGCTTGAGTGACCCCTCGGAGCCCAGCGAGCCCATTGCCTTGAAGGGAAAGCCAGGTACCCCTGCGATGCAGGTGGGCCCTCCACCAGCCACCTGCCACTTGCCACCTGACCTGTGGGACACCGCACTGCCCGTGTCCTGGGCTCAGCTCCCTGTGGCTGCAGGGGCAGGGCCCTGCCCGCTGCTCCCGTCCTGACCCCTCATACCCCTCATGAGCTGAGACCAACCTGTAAAGTTTTAGGACTTCAGGAACCACCTTCCTCTAGGCAGGAGGCGCTCAGAAGCCGGGACATTTTCCCCAGGTCAGCGCCAGGCTGCAGAATTCAGCTGGGTCCCACTCAGGAGCTGAGTGCCAGCAAGTGGTGCCTCAGTTCTAAAGCACCCACCCAGCACCCCTTCCTGCCTTAGGCAGCCAGGAGTGGACCTCCTGAGCGCCCCCGGCCCGCCCTGGTAGAGCTGTCCACCGTCCAGGGCATGGGCCTGGCCAGCACGCTGACCTGAAGGTCCCCCCCGCCAACATCAGCACTGCCCCCACTCCACCTCCTTCCCGGATCTCCCTGACACACCACTGTCCGGGTTCTGACTTCCCACGGCCCCCTCCCACCCCTGAGCCTCTGGGTTCTTTCCTACTTGATGAGATTAGACCAGAAGGTTCCCTGCAGCTGTCATCATCAATTAGCCCTTAAGCAACCAGCTGTAGCCCTAGCCAGCCAAGAACAGCCTCAGAGCCTGCAGGCCTATTTGAGGAAGATTTCCAACCCTAGATTTGCTGTTTCAATCACTTATAAAAAAAAAAAAAAAAAAACTCTATATAGGCACATAGATTCAGAGCAAGTATGAAGGGAGCTGGTGTGTAAATTATGTTTTCCTTTCATTCTGCTCCAGTTAACAGGCTGGATTCAGAGGCCTGGCCGGCGAGTGGCTTGGAATCGGATGTGGGCTACTCTGGGCCACAAGCCAGCCTTGAGGCAAGGCTCTGTACAGCTAAAGGAATGAAGGGAAAATAGGGGCCAGGGAGGAAAAAAGAAAAGGTTCAAGGTAACTGAAGAGTTGCCTGCAGAGAGGGGGTTGAAAGCTCAGGGTAGGGGGCTGTCCGGGAGAGGAAGAAGAGTACGTCAAGGGACAAAGCCTCAAGGAGCCCCACGTTTGGGGGAGAAGATGGGGGTTGCCAAAGGATGCATAAGGAGTTTGAGTAGAGAGAAAAAAGGAAAGGAAGACCCCATGTCTTCCACCCACACACCTGTCTTTCCCTGTGTCCACCCATTCATTCACCCATCTGTCCACCCTCGCCCATCCATCCACCCACCTCTCCTTCATGCTTCTGTCCATCTGCTTTGTACGCCTCTGGCCAGCCACCACCAGCCAGCTACGCACATACATGCAGGCACACACATGTCCATCTAACCAATTGTGGCAGTCGGCCCCTACTTCCAGGAGCTTAGTCTCAGGGGGTCATGAGTGTTATAGCAAAGTTTCAAGAAGGGGAAGTCAAGTTTTCTAGAGGATAAAGGTAAAGATTGAGGAAAGTCATCAGATTTGGAGAGAAAGTGTAAGGATTAAGGTATAATACTTTAGTGAAGAAGCAGAGATGTTTGGAGATAAGAGGAGAGGGGACATTTAGAACAGGAGAAGACTCTGGAACATACGTGGGGCTTGAGAGGGCGCTGCCAGAGCCCCAGGCGTGTCTGGGGCCCCCCCGACACCCTGATTGCGGGGAGGGCTGCTCCCTGCCTCTGCCCCAGGCCGCTCGGCCACCGCCCTCACTCAGCCCACCTTTGTTTCTCAGCCACCCTCCCTCCTCCGGCTCATGTTCAAGCTTTACGGGATACGCAGACCTCAGTGTCCCTGACCTGGGACCCTGTGACCGAAGGCCCAGAGCTCCTGGGTTATTACATCTACTCCCGGGAGGCCGGGTCCCCGGAGTGGCAAACAGTGAACAACAAGCCCGTCCAGGGCCACAAGTGAGTTCTCCACCCCCTTCCTGCAACTGGGCGTCCTGGGAGACGGGGGCGTCGTAGAGTGAAGATCCCCACTTCACAGTGTGGCCATGGGCACCGGGCGCTGTGCTGGGCAGTGACTTATGTTGGCTCATGTATCTAACTGCACACCTATGAGCTCAGGAACAGGGTTACAGTATCATTGTGCAGTGAGGAAACAGGCACTGGGCAGTGCATTAACTTGCCAGCATCCCCTTAGCTAGTACATGGCGGAACTGGGACTTGGCCTCTCTGGGGAAAAGGCTGCTGAGGGCCTTCTGTCGGCAGACAGAGGCGACAGTCCAGGCCAGGTCCCCCAGGAGCTTTGAGACAGAGGGGCGGCCGGGGTGGGGGCTGTTCAGGCTCCACCCCTACCTCCCTGTCCTGTCACTCCTCACTCACTGTGAGCCTGGGCTCCCTCCTCTGCAGAGTATGAGGGGGCAGGCTCCCGTCACCCCACCTTCCCAGCACCCACCCCTCTCTCCCAGGCTCCCTCGCCCCTCCATGGTCCGGTGCTTGCAGGCCCCAGAGCCTCGAGACTCCTAGGTCGTGACATCTCTGAGTGCTGAGGCTCTGTGGGCTGGTGTGTCCAGCTAGTGACACCCTCCCCTTCTTTTCCATCACACACTGGCTAGGCCATGAGCATGGGCTCCCCTCCGCGTAGGCCATGAGTCCCAAGATCATCTCACCCCAAAAAAGACACAGGCCCTTGTGCCCCACTGGTCCCTGCACCTCACAGTCACCAGAGGGCTCGCTCCTGACTCATCACCGCTGAGTTCCCAAGTCGGAGAACAATCAGGTTTTTTGACAAGTTAGCTGTTACCCCTAAAACAACCCCTCCCCTGCTTGCATTCAATGTGCTTTGCTGGGGTGGAGGTAGGCAGGGGTGAAGGGAGTCATGAGAAGGGGTGGAAAGGTAGGGGCGCACTCTGCCGACACCTCCAGAGCACTGGGCACACGCCTGCCTGGCACCTGCCACATGTGTCATGGCAGAAGGAGGCTGACCACTGCTGACCACGAGGGCTGCCGGGCGAGGCCATAGAGGAAGCCCCGCCAGACTGGGGGCCAGGTCACCAACAGATCACCAGCCCCACAAACCCAGGCTTGCAGGAGATGCTCAGGCCACGTCCAGGTGAATGGACAGACAGGAAGATGGACTGACAGATGGACAGATGGACGGGTGGGCCCTGTGCTGGACTCAGGAGACCTGGGGGCCAGTCCAGGAGGTGTCCCATGGACTGTGCGCTCTAGTATGCTGCTGCTCCCCTCTGGGGAGCCCCTCCCTGCTTGGAAAACGAAGACACAGGACGATCCTCCTCTCCAGTGCAGGGACAAGGGTGGCCTCTTCTTCGGAGGGCACCGGGCAAGCGTCTGGCTGCAGAGTGTATAGACAGCAGGTGCACGAGAGCTGTTGCTCCCACCCCTGTGGTCACCACCATCCTCCTGTCAACAAGGGCTGCTGCCCCAGGGCATCAGGCAGCCTCACCTGGCCAGGTGCAGCCCAGGCATTGCCCTCGGGCTCCCGCCCTTTCTGAGGCAGGTCCCTACTGGCACGGGGATCCCTGCGTGGGACCCTCGTGCTGTGACCACAGTCCGTAGAAGTCCTCCAGGCTCCTGGGCCCACTGGCCCAGAGAGGCTCCCTGAGGAAACAGACTCGCAACAGGAAGATGCTGATACATGAAAGGAGAGGAAGAATCTCAGTCTGGGCTTTCACCCACAGAGAAAGGATGAGAAAAACATTTTTCTCTAAGCCAGACTGTCTCTGTGGGTCCCTGGATGAGAATTCTCTTTGGGGGTCCTTAAAAGAAAGGCCATGTGTTTGAATCACACATCGTGCAGATAGAAGCACCACTGGTGTATCAAGGGCAAGCCCAAAGCCCTGAGGATGTAGCAGGCCGTGAGGCCGGTTACCTGGCGCCTGGGCCCTCAACTGGCACCTTTCCAGCATATTGGCAGTCAATGGTGGACCCTGGAAGAGCCGTACTCTTTAAAACTTTGAGGACTTCATCCTCCAGACTGTAGGCATCCCTTTAGGGGAGGGGCAATAACTCCAGGTAAGAACTGATCTGGGACCCTCAAATCCTACCACCTGGTGGCCACTAATCCCACACGGCTGTTCTAGAAGTTCGGGGATGTCTCCCAGCCTCTGGCCGGCCCCTGAAGACTGCGCCTTTCTCGCCCAGGTTTTCGGTTCCTGGGCTGAGGACGGGGAAGGAGTATGAGTTCTGCGTCAGGTCAGTGAGCGAGGCCGGAGTGGGGGAGCGGTCAGCCGCCACGGAGCCCATCAGGGTCAAGCAGGCTCTGGGTGAGTCCAGGGGGCAGGTCCAGCCCGCAAGCCTCTGGGGGCAGTGCTGGGCTCAGCAGAGAGCTGGCCACTTCTCGAGGGTCTTATCCCAGAGCTAGCAGCACCCCTCAGCCCTCTGAGGGGATATGGAGCTCCCCATCGTGCTTTCTGTGGGGAAGGAAGTAGCATTGGTCTGGGGAAGCGGCAAGGTACCAGCAGGCGCTATGTCAGCACCCAGGGGCAGGGCGGGCCCCCACAGGGGAGGTCACCCTGGCCCCTTAGGAAGCAGCTGCCCTCTCCTCCTGGCCGCCCACAGCTACACCATCTGCCCCCTATGATTTCTGCCTTCTGAACTGTGGGAAAAGCGACATGGTCATTGGCTGGAAGCCCCCCAAGCGCTGCGGCGGCGGTAAGGTCCTGGGCTATTTCCTGGACCAGCATGACTCGGAGGAGCTAGCCTGGCACCCGGTCAGTCAGCAGCCCGTCCCCGGCCGTGTCTGCAAGGTGAGGCTGGGAGGGGCCGTGGCCCAGCGCCATGGTGTGTGAGGTGGGGGCCGCGGTCACTGTCAGAAGGCCCTGAGCCCAAAGAGCCTTGATGGTCCATTTGACTGACCTTGCCTCAGCCCCCAACACCCCCGCTCGGAGCCTCCCCACCTGCCACCTGCTGCCCTCCTGCCTCTGCTTCACAGCTCGTTCTGCTCTTCCAGGTCAGCAACCTGCGGGAAGGACACTTCTATGAGTTCCGGGCCCGGGCAGTAAACTGGGCAGGTGTGGGCGAGCTGTCGGCGCCCAGCAGTCTGTTTGAGTGCAAAGAGTGGACAATGCCCCAGCCAGGTGAGAGGCTGGAGGCACTGGACTTTGATTGCTCACCTCCTCTCCCTCCCCAAACTGACCAGTGAGGGACCCTGGGCTCTGTGCATATGCACTCGCCCCCCTGGCCCCCAGCCCCGGCTCCTGGCACCAGCTCTTGGTAATCTCTGAGACAGAACACCATCTCGGCGCTGATTCTGGCCACAGACCAACCTTGAACCCTAAAGGCACATTGCCAGTATGACCAATGTGTCCCAAGTCGCCTGGGACCTTCCAGGTTTTATTCTGAAAGTCTTATATCCCAGGAACCTCCTCAACCCCAGGAAAACGGGAAAGCTGTTCACACGCAGGCCCCACACAGGCCCCCATGCAGGCCCCACGCAGGCCCCCATACAGGCCCCACACAGGCCCCCATGCAGGCCCCACGCAGGCCCCGTACAGGCCCCACACAGGCCCCCATGCAGGCCCCACACAGGCCCCACACAGGCCCTGTGCAGACCCCACGCAGGCCCCATGCAGGCCCCACGCAGGCCCCGTAAAGGCCCCACACAGGCCCCGTACAGGCCCCACACAGGCCCCGTGCAGACCCCACGCAGGCCCCACACAGGCCCCCATGCAGGCCCCACACAAGCCC